CAAGTCGACATTGAAAGAGTATACAATAAATCTTTTGTGTATAATAAGATTAAAAAATGAATTAACTTCTTCTCTTATTTATCTCATGTTGAGATATTCTTTATTTCATCTAAGAACTGACGATATTGATTGTTCAATATAATGTACTTGGTGCTCAAGAGGCACCATACTTATCGAGAGTGTATGTGGGTGTGGTTATAGATAGAACATACACTCACACACTACTACTTTCTTAACAGCAACCTATTGCGCATATGTCAATATGTTTGGTTGTCATGAACTTTTTGAATGAAATGTTGCTGATGTTTAGTCTTAAAGCAATCAAATACGTGTAGCCGTTGCATGTCTTTAAGCATAGATGAAATTTTAAATAGTCGCGTGTAAAAAGAAAAAGAAGAAGAAAAAAAGAATAGAAATCGAATCGATAATGGTTACTAATTCGCTAACATCAATTTTGTAAAAGAGAACGTTTTTTTATTATTTAATCACTATATACAAAAGCATTAGAAAAAAAAATTTGACTTGTTTCACGTGGAACAATATTAAAATTTAACAAGATGACAAATTCATCTCAGCCACATACACCATGTCAAATGCAAACACCATCATTAATTGAGGATGATGATGATGATCATACTAATAATAAGAATGGAAAACAATTGCTATCAAGAAGTCTTACATTTGATAAGGAACCATTAAAACATAAACGAATAAAAAGACTAAGTTGACCATCACCAGCTATAATTGAACAACAACTACAATGTGAGTGTGGGGTGTGTGTGGATATCTTCTCATCACCCAGCCACACTCACATCCTCAAGCACAATCGTATTGTTATACTATTTTTTCGACTGTACGAATAGCAAATGAATTAAACACCAAGAATGAAAATGTTTATATTTTCACTCATCTTCAAGAGATTTCTTCAAAATGTTTTAACGAAATATTCAGAGACGTAATTTTCAAAAATACTTTCATATGAAACCCAAAGAACCCTCTTTTTTAATGCATTTTGTTGCCTGTCACTTAATATAAATAATGCTAATAGTCGAAGAAAATAAAACTTCACCCTGCTTATCTTATCTATGGAACACAGATTCAAGTACATGCGTTACTTGCGTGAAATATTATTTTATAAGATAAAAGCAACGGTGTTGTTTTCTTACAAAACTGAAAAGGTAAATATAAGTCTGACAAGATATAGCTGACTTCATTGAAATACCTGAAGTGTATTACTTCGAAAAAGCGGATAACATCCCCATGTAAAAAAAAAGTAGGAAAATTTCACTTTTAAGTACCTTTTACACTTGGTGAAAAAATATTAAAAGTACTTAATAGTTACTTTTTTGGGTCAAAAATTTTACATGGGCACACCCGCACCCTGCTTAAAACTTGGGTGTTGTTCATTAGACAAACTGCAAACGATTACTTATTTGACACCACAACTTAAATTACTCAATGTCTATATTAATTTCGGAGAGATAAATTTTCGTCCTATTATATTACTAACCCCGCGTACTCGGCTTAATCTAAATATTGACTGTAAGTATTATTTCAAGAAAACAAAATTAAAGAAACAATTTCTGGAAAATTTTCGATGTTTTATAGATTTTCCAATACCAATGAATCATATGGAATATTTTCTATCAAATTGTTTTTATCTGAAACTTGGTATGTCACATATGAAAATGATTATCTATTTTCTATTTCTTATTTTGTTCCTGAACGAGTTGATTCATGAATCAACTGTGACAAAAGGCAAAATTGCCAAATATTATTTCACAAATAGCAATGTATTAAAATTCAAATATTCAATAACATTGAAATATTTATTACGCATAATCGATCTCGATCAAATTAAATATTTATCAATTTTATCTTCAGAAGATTTATTAATATTTATACTAATTCAAAACAAAAAATACTTTGTTTATATAAACTATCTGTTAAAAATGAAATAACAAAACATATAATAAAATAAATGCTTATTTATTCTTTTGAACAAATTCAAAAACTTTGAATTAGCAATAGGTATAATGAATATATTATTGAAAAATTATTTCGTCTTTTTCCATGTACAAAATATCTGATATATAAATCTCGTATTCCATCAATATATATATGATGAATCGTTTGATAAATGGTTTTGAATATTTATTAAATACATCATTTATTTTATGTGGTCCATTTTCTAATATATCATTTACCTAATAATGGTTCAGAGTTTATTATTAATTGGTGGATTCAATAACAAGTCAGTCTTTCTTAGGTCATACAATTATTGTAGATCTATTCTTATTTAGCAATCGAAATTTAATTTAAAAGATTGTTGTTCGTCATACAAATTCAGAAATTTCATCGTTTAAATTTTGTTTAAATTAATTAAAGTTGTGGGTTTTTTTTCTTGGTAAACAAGATGTTTTTTCAAAAAGGATTCTCGAATCACACGATATATGGGCCAGTCTATGTAAACATATACACGTGAAGCAAAGAAACAGAACTTGAGGAAAAGTTCAAAGGTCAAACTAATATTCTCTTTCTCCTTGATTAATCTTTGCTATAGCGGACGTATTTTTTTTGCGTTCTATCCGTCCGCCGTTGCGACTACAGAAATTCTATTTCTCCTTGGTTAATCTTTGCTAGAACGGACGTACTTTTTTGCGTTCTGTCCGTCCGCCGTTTTCGACAAAAATTCTATCTCTCCTCGATTTATCTTTGCTAGAATGGACGAACACTTTTGCGTTCTGTCCGTCCATTTTCGAAAAACAAAGGGTCTTATTAATCGTTTTTTTACTGTTCTGTGTGACCGCTATATGACCTTTCGGAAATTGGGTATACCCACTTTTTGTTCCATATATATCATATCCTCTCTAATTAGTCTTCAAACAAAAAAAAAGATTTATTAATCATTTGTACACATCAAACTGATACGCATATCATGGCTCGTCAAAAAAAAACGAAATTATTAAAATTGGTCTGTAAACAGGCCGAATTAACTCGTGCTCGTTTTCGTGGTTCATCATCGCCAAATAAAACTAATCAAACAGATAAAAATTTATCATTTATAAATAAAACTGGAGAAAGATTTCGAAAAAAACTAGCACAATTAAGTGTCGGAACAACGCTATCGTCAATTAAAAAAGTATGTATTAATGAAAAACAAATTCTATATCTGAGAATCCTTTTTTCACACAAAAAAAACAGGAATGGATTATTATCAAACAAGTTGAACTATCGAAACTACGTGAACAATGTTTATGTGGACGACCAAATTTAAAATTTGTTACATATTTAAAAAATACAATAAATAACAACGAAATCACAGCAGGCAATTGCTGCTTATTAACATTTAAATGATAAACGTAGAATAGACAAAATTAAGATAAAGATTTTTCACTGTTTTTTGTAGTTATTTTATGCAATTATAGCAATGACTTATAGACTATCTTGTAAACATTTTCCTTGTGTATATTTTGTACATTAACAAGAAAAAAAAAGATATAACCGTTTTCACGCTAGTCAGTATCTTGTTGATCGAGCGAATGTAACCATTCTAGACCCATTCATTTTTATACCTTCAAACTAATAATTACTTCTTCAATAACAACAATATGAATGTAACAATATATACTACCACAGACCCATACAGCAAGTCACGTGCAATACCAAGTATCTCTATTCTGTTATAACATACCATCAAACAATGTAATTTCATTTCCAATGATGATGAGTCAATTCCATTGTTGGGACTGAGACTAATCAGGTGGCGCAAGTTATCATAAGAGATAGATTGATGAGGTGATCAGGGTGTGTGGGTGTGGGCTAAGAAAAGAAATATACCCACACCCCACACACACACCCCATCTAAATTGCTGATTAGATTAGCAGCATTCACAGATTATTTGTCAGATTCTACAGATATTCTACACTATCTGCTAGACTGACAAATCTCTATACTCTCTACCAGAATATTCTTTTTTCTAATGCAGGAACTGCCTTCATATTTACTGTACAAAAAGCTTTTGCAATATTAGTTGATCGTGCACCAATCATTCGTAATGGATCTATCTCGTCTGTTAAAGAAACTCCAAGCATGAGTGTTTATAGTGCATCAAAAGCAGCTTTACGTTCTCTTGCACGTTGTTGGACAATGGATTTGAAAGACCGAAAGATTTGAGTGAATATTTTGAGTTCAGGACTAGTTGATACATCATTGGCAAGATCTATTTGAAACAATGAAGAACAAAATGATATTATAATTGCCATAGTAGCAACTAGTTCATCCATGAATCGCATTGCGATGCCTGATGAAATTACGAAAGCCGTAGTCTTTCTAGCTTCAGATAATAGTAGTTATATAACAGATATTGAGCTTTTGTTGATGGAGATTTAGTGCAAATTTGGAAGACTTTTTTCGTTTATTCAATATCTAATAAAAGAAGTTGACTTTTAGATGGTAACTAAACAGAATCAATGATATTTGATATATTAAGATTCTTTAGCTAAGAGCACTAAATACTCAATATAGAATAGAAATTCGATGTTGATTGTATATAAAATATATAGTTGTTTAAGTCAGTTTCTTTCTCTAAATATTTTTATTTTTCGAAATTCTTGACATAACTAAGCAGCTTTATGAATCGATTATATGAATTATAAAACAAAGTGATGATTACAATGAATTAGTAGAATAATTCACTTTGAACTCTGCCTCACCTTCGATGTACTTTTAACACTTGGTCATCATGTCTTTTTTATGTATTGTCCATGATTCCAGTATCATTCGAATTCAAGTTTTCTTACTCTTTCAAAGACTATTTCATTGCTTTTCGGACAAAATCTTTTTGAGATCATGTTGGAAAAGAGTAATAGAATTCTAATCGAGTTCTAACTAATAAAGCTTAGCTCTTGTAAAAACGTTGAATAGTGACTACGAAGCAAATAATATCATCTATAAAGTTCTAGTGCACCAAAATATTTAGTGCTACGTGATGTCTACATCATGAATTGAAAGTCAAAATAGAAATGTAAAAAGATAATGTAAAAGTAAGAAAATAGTTCGATACAGTTTTGAATCCTAGATTGGATGAATTGGATGCTGTTGTTGTTGTATTTTCAATGATTCGATTCAGTCGTGTTAATAAAAAATATTTCATATATTTGGCATATTTCGACGATGTATTCATAGCTTCATCAAATAAGATCATATCAGAAAGAATATCACTCCAAATTGGTACAAATTTCATGTTCCATCCAGCAGTTTGTATCAACACTCGTCTATTCGTTTGTGAAATATAGTCAAGTAAAATTCCATTATCAGGCAAAAATGTAGTTAAATATGTTTGTTCATTAACATAATAATCTGATACATTGACTTGAGTTGCCATATGAAGTGAAACCCATTCAAGAACTTTTTGTGTAAGAAAATTATCAGCCGTATTTGTACGTTGTGATGGATAAAATAGTGGTTTTGATAGATTTCGAATAAAACGTGGCAAAACAGCAATGTAACTTGATGATGTTAACATGCTTGGAAAACCGAAAAAGATCGATTGTCGATCCTTACTATTCCATGTAAGCCAAGTAGGAAATCGAGTGGCATTTGGTAGAAGACGGAAATAGTAAATTGGAAGTTCCCATAATGTTATATCAAGATGGAAATTAAATAAATGAGATATATTTTTCGTGTAAGGTCCAGGAACAATGAGAACTTTACGTGAAGCATACAATATACCCCGATTAGTAGTAATCTCTGTTTGATTATTTAATTTTAATGATAAAAATTCTTCCTGTTGTCGAATGATAATATTTCGTTTTTGTGAAATAATACGAAGAAGAGCTATTGTCAATGTATTCATATTGATAAAACCCGATTGATGATGAAATATACCTTGATATTGAAGTGGAAATGAGAATGTTGGATAACGCATTTTCAATTGTGTATTATTCAAATATTCACAACCCATTCGAAGATTTTCACATATTTGTTTAATCAACTTGAAATCATCGACAATTGTTGATTGATTTGTATTAAAATCACCAACAAGTAAATATCCATCATCTGTATTAAGAATAGATCCGAATGACATATTAGCCATTTGTTCGAATTGACGCCAAAGTGTAAATGACATATTAGCTAGTTCGACAAGATATTGTTCATTATGCATTTGGCTAAATTGTTGTTGTTTGAAGGAACCAGAATTACTATTCGAATTATTTAAAATAGTTTCTTTTTCGATAATAGCAATACGAAGAGTCGGTTGCTTTAACGACAAAAAAATAGCTGTCATTAGTCCAACAGGATCTCCACCAATGATGACAACATCATAAGTTATTTCGATTCCTGTACTGATTGATAAAGCTGCTCGTACTGCTGATGAAAGAGCACCCTCTATCCATCCATTAAAGAAACTCGTATGTTCTCCAATAAAATGTATGTTCGATATTGATGCTTGTAATTTATCTAGAGTTTTCGTTTCTTGAAAAGGATTAAGGTAAAGAAAACCGCCACCCACATAAGTATCTTGACACCAATGTTTGACTACTCCACCTTGAAAACTATTGCGTATACTCGATGATGAATTTCTATGAATTTGTATTATTTGTTTTAGTGCTTGTTCGATAGCATCCACATCAGACAAAGACTGCCATATAATTGAATCTTGTGCAAATGTATATGCAGTAATAATAATTCCGCCATCCGTTTGATTCATATTTGTACTCGGATAAAAAATCGTACGAATGGGTAGATCAGTCCTGGATGCACCTTCACTAATATTTTCGTTTGTATACCACCAAGATGTATTGAAAGTGAGGAGAATTTTTGATGAACATATATAATTCGTTTGACGTAAAGTCAAATATTTCTGAATAAAATGTGTTCGTGGTTGAAAATCGATAAATTGTGTGACAGGTGCTGAAGTCGCTACAACTACTTCATCGAAAATTCGATCAACACCATCTTTACTCATTACACTAATTTTATCGGATGCTAATAATTGCACTTTATTGATGGGTGTTGAATAGATAATAGAACATTGCTTCGATTCCATCATTTGACATTCATCAACCATTGATTGAATTAACTTATCATTTCCTTCTCGAATTCGATAAAATTTAGTTCCATCTATAATTGATACTTTACTGCGCATGAATTGCAAGAGTCCTGTATCCATAGTCGATTCACGATTAGTTGAAACAGCTATATAGTCTATAGCTGCACGAGATAAATTCATTTGGATTAAATAGGATTCAATCGAATATGAATCCCATCGATTTCGAATCGATAGCCAACCTTCTTCTAACCATGTCTGAAGTATAGGTTTCACAGCTTCGGAAAGTAATTGATCAGGACTCTGACAAAAGAAAAACGAAACATGTCTTATGAGATACATACTTTAAATTTTCATATATAAATATGTTGAGCGGTAATTAACTGAACTATCCAGTGATATAACAAATTTGGTTACATAACGCTTTTTTTCTACTAATTTAATCATAGAAATTAGAATAAGAACTTTGTTAGGTAGTGTGATAATGTGTACACGTAATTCTCTGCAGTTGCTCAATAAAGAGGAATAGACGTATGTGTGAAGATAAGAGTAGTCTTTGACTAGGAGATAGCATATGGCAGATGAACATTTTAATGTTACAGTTTTTTATACCCTGTTCGTTCTTATTTGTAAAAGAAACTTTAGAGCTACTTTTTTGTAGACAAATACTACTCATTAGACTTTGTATAACTAGGAATCTAACAAAGTTTTAATGTCAAATAGTCAGAAAATGTCTTTTGTGGAAAAAATTTCGGACCTTTAGTGTAAATAGGTTAGAGGTATACAATCATAGTTTAGAAGCGTATATTTGATATTCAAATGATGCTTTTGAAAAAGCATTTTTCTCCTTTCTTTTAAGCTAGTCACTCGGGTAGTAATCAAATAATGTTCTTGACGATGACAATTAGTGTCTTAGATATCAGAATATTGAAGTTTTACAGGTGCACTTCAGACATAAGTCATAGAAATTCGATATTCCTACCAGTAAAATCTGGTAAATCAAAGTTTCAAAAAACTTTTTGTAAAGCTGAACTTATGATCGAAAAGTTCGGATACATTATCCTATATAAAAGCGAAATGCTCATTACCAGTATAATCCTATTTATTATGTCAGTAGATAGTTCAGATTAATATTTCAAATAGAGATAAATTTTATTATCAAATCTAATGTCTTCTTTCTTTTTACCTTTCCTCGTTCATTTTGACTGGTATTAAATTGAAATATGTCTGGATTTTCATTCGCTTGTTTTCTTGTCACAAGTATTCCATTTATGTATATATAAGCATGTTCATCATAACTAGAAGTTTCGGTAATACTCAACTTGTAACGATTTCGAATCAAATTGTTCAAATACGGGTGCGCATCAAGTGGAAAACGCATGGCACCCATTTCTGCCATATATTTTAATCGATTTTTCGGATCACGATAAGTCAAAATTCGACCACCGGTTCGATTACTTGCCTCGAAAATTGTCACTGTATGACCTGCTTCAGCCAGAAGTATACCACAATATAAACCGGCAGCACCTAACAATCAGAGAATCAATGTAGAAAAAAATACAGTATAGTAGTTTTATGCACAGTTTTTAGGTAAAACAAAATCATTCTATGTATGATACATAAGCTATAAGGATAGATTTTTAGTCTCATTTAGAAGTGGCACTTTAACTTTACTTTAAACTTTAATACTTTTTTAAAAGTATTTTTAAAGTTTATGTGCCACTCCTAGTCTCAGTTGGGTGCAGAACCTAAGAAATTGTTCGGACTCTGTAATGTGTTATAGTTTCAATCAAGAAAATTTTCAAATTAACGCCTATGAGATTAAAATCTGAAACACGAAGGTACTGCTTTAATTATACATAAATACCGATTCCCCACGGATTTTTTTAGTTCTCGATTTGATATCTATGGAAATCCAAATATTCACTTCTAATACAAAAATTTGAGGACTATTTTTCTAAAATAGTGTGTCAACATATCTAAATATGACAATCTATATAAGTGAATATTGACAGAGATGATCGATATTGAATGGACAAAACTCGGAATCCAACAATAAAAAATTATAATTCAAAACTACTACCTAATTCTGTTATAAGCAAAACTTACCAGCTCCAATAATAGCAATATTTCGACATTGATTGAGTTCCTGTAAACATTTGGGTAAGCCATATATACTAGTTTGCAGCTGTTGCCATGAATGCTCATTCAAAAATTTTGATTGTTTTTCTTGCTCATTATTGCATGTGAAAAATTCTTTTGAAAAATGTTTATTTGATGAGCTCGAATGTGAACAAAGATCAGGTGATGCAATAGACGGCATGCATGGAATAATAAACAGAAAAAGACACCATCTTTGCCAAACATAAACCATTCCCTGAAAAAAAGAATGATGAGAAACAAAACAATTTTTTTCTTGTTCGGTATGTAACTACTCCATAAAACTTAAGGTCGATTTGTGTCAAACAAGTAACAACATTTAAATATCATTATGCTGACAAACGATAACAAGAGAAGGAAAAAAAACTAAATACCAAGAACAAAAAGTGGATAAAGTAAAATGATGATTGATAAGAAAATATCAAAAGTATAAAACTGACAAAAGTTACCACTTCTATGAGACATATATTCGAATTTTATTTTTACTTTCTTATATTCTAAGATTTTCATCATAGTTTCATACATTAAGATGTATCTATTGTGATAAAATAATAGAGCTATACTCTTACAATTATTTTCTGATATTATTCATGATCAAAGATGGAGATTATCAAATAACCTAAAAAGAAAATAGTATTTTCGGTAAAGTAACCAGTAACTTTTGTCTTGTTTATCAGTGACTTTGTTTATAATTAATATTCAACTAGAATCTTAAGAACGAAGTTATAACTGATTTCTAGCTGTACCATTGGATAAAACTACAAGCTTATCAATATATGACACTGTGATAAAAATTATTGTTTCAGATCAAAAAAGAATGGTTAACGCTTACTTTCAAACTGTATGTTTCCGAAAATAATATTATCATGAAAAAAAAAACATGCTCTGCGCTTCGTTATTTAAGGGAAGGAAAAGTACTCAACACAACATAAGAAATTGCTTTCATTTCTGTCAAAAGATAAACAATATTCTCTGCGACTTGGATCCAATGTCACATAGAATACGAAATATCCATTCATTTGATCGGTGTTCGATGTCAATACTAGAATCTGCTCATTTTCCGACACTAGACTGAAATTATATCGATTGATAGGACCTGTTTGGATCGGACTTCTATGTCTCAATGAATTAGATTGTAGGATTCTATTGGATTCAAATATTATACTATAATGTTTGAAGGAGTTATTTATCACACAGGAATCAAAAATAGCACATAGCAATAGTTTTCTAACAGGATGTAATTACTTACAAATCAAGCGGTCGTGCATAGTACTGTCACGTATTTAAATAGTGATGTAAAGAACTGCGATTTCCGGTCATAAGATACTAGAACTTAACCATATATAGTCGTTTAAGTACCGTGATATTCGACTTGAATATTCAAATCTTAATATTTCTAATCTCGTAAGTTCATATTTCCGTGACTTACAGGTTCAAAAATTTTTAAATACTGCATTTATTCTAATTTCCGATTTCTCAAAATTGGAATTTATTGAAATAAAAATCTCCTCAAACTTTTAAATTTAAGTTTTCATTGATTTGTCAATTATGTGATCATTCAAAAAAAAATACAAAGAAAAACAAGATAAGAGTATCTGTTATTGTGTGAAGGTTTCTATAATATCTATCAAAGTATTTAGTACAATAGGAGTTTTTGTTTAAACACTAAGCTTCTGAAAATTGAAAAACACACATTTGCACTTACTTCTAATAGTTTATATTTTATTATTTGCAAGTATAATATTTACTTATATATTGACAATAATTTCGGTGCAAAAGTCATTCAACATGAATAACATTTTCATTCAACCTTTATAAAAAGGTATATTCATACTCAAATGTGATTATTGTTTACTTTATTTTGTACGAAAGGAAAAATAAAATCTTTTTAAAATAGACCTTTCTTACTGTTTACATAATGTGAGGATAACAGTGATATTTTTACCTTTCATTAGAACTTTGACTTTGTACAAATAGACATATAATATCTTCCGCGAATATCCGTACTAGAGTTATTTAATCTCTCCATGACTTTTTAAAGGCAGTTTGAGTATTTAAGTCTTTCTAAAGTTATTTAAACATCTTTATTGTTTTTTAAGCCTCCATTTTGCTATGTGAAGACTACTCAGATATTTAAAGACTCTTGCCTATTGAAACCCTTATAGCTATTTAAATAAGTGTCATCTATTTATTTAATGCTACTGGTTCTTTTCGAATGAAAATTGATCAAGGAGGAAAAGGTGGAACTCCAGGAGTGCATATTCCACACGTACTTCCGAGAACTAGAGTCTTGTTTTTTCCTCGTGGAAATGGTGAAAAAAAAATTCATAATGTAAATCTATTTGTCACTCATTGTGAACCCATCTATATCAAATCATTGGACTCGCAGATGAAGCCAAATAAATCACTGGGATTAATAAATTACTCAACCGTAGTTATTATTAATAAGCAACATGATTTTCACTGAAGTCCAATATTTTCCTAAGAGTTAAAGGATATTCATGTATTGAGATATACACATACACGCAAAATTTGGCAAAGACATAGACATATCTGAACGTCCAGAAACTAATTAAGACTTTTTTTTGAGAATTTTTTGCGAAATTTTCGAGTAAAATTGCTTTTAGGCAATATTTTCACGAGAGAAATTTGTCAAGATTCTATGATCTATCATGTTGACATAACCAGTTATTGTTTATCTTGGTTGAAAAGGATTCGAACTCTGAAGAGTATTGAAAATCATCTCTGTAAACGAAAATAAATGAACGACGGATTATTGAACATGTGACAAATTCTGAGATGTCAATCAATGAGCCATATATACACCCGAAAAACAATAGCTATAGTCCGTATTTTTAGTATATTGTCATTATAAAAATAGAATTTTTAAAACTAATTACATATTCTGAAAGCGCGTGGGGTTTTCTATCATCCTATATATTTCTCTATTGTCTTGACTATATCTATTCAAAAGAAAAATCGAGTACACTAAATATAATTTCAATTTAGAAGGCTCAAAAATTTTTATTTTTCTCTCTTGTTATAGTGTCGTTAGTGTATACAGTACTTTGTGGACTGGGATCATATACTCTTATAGGGTTCCAAATGCTCTATCATCTTCTATATTTTTCTTCTATGCTACATTTATATGCTGCATGTAATAGATCGAAGACAATGCAAAAACATAAAGGATAGTACAGAGTTGCAAGTACTATCAAAATCTATGATTACCTTTGTGTAAAAATTCAGCTATATCAAATAATAAATAAAAAAAACTTGGAAGATTAGAGAAAAAAACGAGAATTTTTTGTTTCCTCTAAATTGAGTTTATATTCAATGTGCTCGATTTTTCTTTTGAATAGCCGTAGTCAAGACAATAGAGAAATATATAGCATGATAGAGAATTTCAAGCTCTATCAGAATATATAATTGGTTTTTTCAAAAGATACTGTTCTAGTGATATAAAAAAGTTTAAAAGGGTGTGGGGTGTGGGTGTGGTGGTGGTTGTGACTCTTGGTGTTCTCTTCATCGACACCCGCTCACACCCACACCCTTATTGATTGTACAAGAACATACTGAGAAAGAAAAGATATCACATAAGATAATATGCCCATTGGGACACTAATGACTTATCACTTCAGTATATTGTTTGCCCAGCATCGTCTCTGTTAAAAATACCTGTTTGAAGAGTGGTGAGGGTAGAACATAAAGAAAAAAGAGACTCATATGTGGTGTAAATGAAATATAGTAAGTCAGCAACATGAAATGAATGAACCAAGAAGTTTGTTCATAAGTGCAAGCATCATGGAACAGAAAGATCAGTTGAGGTAGTTGCGTTATGAAACATATGATTGGGCCAAACAGAAGACCTTGCCGTTCGCGTGCTTGTTTTGCTAAAATTCTATGCACTGGAAGGTGTTGACTGATTGCTTTTGATCGACTAATGAAAACTATAATGATCAAACCACTTAAAAGGTTAATGATAAATGGAACGATTTGATGTACTAATGATATGTACTGAGCAAAGTTTTCTTGATTCGTACCAATCTCACTTACACACCACGAATAAAGTTCATCAGGATGATTAACTAATTTATGTTGATCGATATGTATATAGATCGAGCCAAATATCACAATAGTTATGAGTGCAGTAAAAATGTAGGCCAACTTGGGTGTGCGCAACGTAGAAAATCGTGCAGGCAATGCAACTAGTAATGCTCTTTCCACTGTGACAAACGCCATTAGCCAAAGATTTATATAGTTAAGCGAAGACATGAAATAAGGTAGACTCTTGCATAATACAATATTTAGCGATTGTCTAATGATAATAAGACGTGAAAGATAGAGATAAGCAACGCGACTACATAAGAGAACGAGCACTAGTTGACTGGTAAATGCATTGACAAGAAGATAGAATCCACTACCTGTTTGACGAGATTTTGGCTTTACGAATGTGACAATACTGAAACCATTGAAAATTGTACCGAAGAATACGAAGATAACCGGCCCGATGAAGTGATAGCGATCCCATTTCACTTTTTCCATAAGATATTCCAAAGAAATCACAAAACGACTTGGGGAATATTGGCAAAGCTTGCCTGATACACATTTAGGGCATACGCAAACAAAGTCACTTTTATTTTGAGACTCACCTTGAATACAGTAGCCTTGATTGAGACAAAGTGTGCAGGCAATATTTCGTCGAAGGTATGACACACATTCGCTTCTGTTTGACGTCATCATACTGCAATAACATAGATAACTGTCCGATAAGAAACATGAATAATTCATTGGTTGCTGACAAAAGCTGTGAAAAAGTTTCACAGAACGATGCTCCGTTTCATTGAATAAGCGACACCGTTGAGGTTGAATATCAAGATCGATTGTTAAGTTTCGCAGAACATTTGAACAATTTATGTAGAGCAGATGAATATCGATATCAACTGATTTTATGCGTGGTTGAAATGTAAACATTAAACCTATCTCAGGTATATCGGCTGTTCTATAGTGCGTGTCATATGTTTTCATTACTCTTGTGATTGGAAAATTGGTTGATGCGTGAACGAGAATATGTTGTCGTAAGCGTGGATAATTCGAAGTCAATTTAAGCAGTTGAAGAAGAAAAGGCGACTCATTTGATTTATTTTGATGCATAACAATTACTGTTGCATGCATGTCACAGTTCAAGCCGTTGCACAGACATGTATAACTGTTAGGAGGTTGAGTGGAGAGAGCATAGCATATTTCATTTAATGAGCAAGGATGTAACTTCTCACACACAGTATTACGAACAAAACAATGAGGCTCAAGATACCCATATGGGCATACACAAACATTTCGATCTCGTGCAAGAGAATGGAAAGCACATTTTATGTCATTAATTCTCTTCTCACAAAAAATACCTCGCCAACCTCGTTGGCATAAACATAAATTTTGTCCATTATTTGAATTATAACATGTTCCATTATTTTGACAATGATTATACGAACATGACCAGGGTAGACTACGATCCGGAAATCGTAATATTTTGGCAAGACGAAAAACAGGTAGAAAACTGAATGGACTAATTGGATATTCCCATGCCGTTAGTATATTAGTTGAATGATAGGCTTCGAAACGAACTGAATATATTCCCTGCGGTTTAGGACGAGAATATTGCAAGTAGATAGTGTGTTTAGATGGAAAATCTTTGTCGATATCGACAAACACTTGATGATCATGAATTGTTTGATTATTGTATACAAGTAAAACCAGTACATGTATGACCAGTGGAAGATCGAAACGGTGACGTCGATCGAAACGAACGCGAGCAGTTATGCGTCGACTGTTAAATTGGCAACGAGTGCCATAAAAACTCGGAGGACAAAAGCAATAATATGCTTTACGACTTTCATCGGTCAGATAGAAACCTCGGTTACATACTCCATGCGGACGAGACTTTATACTCTTTCTATTGTCAAGGATTATTAGTGATGTTTTAGTAGTACTAGTTGTCAATTGAGTACTCAAATGGCTATAGCAAAACGTCTCATAATTTGATGGACGTCGACGTTTACTTAAGCGGTAAATCATTGATGCGGTTCTCGTATTGGAACACCAAAACCAAGGAGTTTCATTTGAACATGAGCAGTTCGATTTGGCATTACATCGACCATTTTCACATGAATTTGTATCTGAACAAGCCAATTGTTCTTTAATACACTGTTCATATTGGCAGAAACAAATATATTCATCTGTACGATCCAAACAATCAAATACACCATTACATAAAGTTGTATAGTTAAGACATTTCGTTTGATTATCACATAAAAATCGATTGCCAAGCATTGTATGATCTGAACAAGAGAATACGTTACGTTCATCTTGGCCACCTAAACAGTCAATTTTACCATCGCCAGTATTGGTATATGATATACAAGGACGGTTTAGTATGCGATCCTGTAGATATTGTGACGTTATACAAAAATGTTCATTTGACTTGTTACAAACGAATTCTAAAGACCCTTCTTGTGATCGTCTAGGACAGTTCAATTCATCTTCACCATCATCGCAATCAAATTCTCCGTCACATAAATATGTTCTTTTGATACATTGACTTGTCCTGTTGCACTGATAAGTTCCACGTGCACAAACCCATTTAGAGCAATCTCGTTCATCTCGACCATCCATCGTATCCCAAACTGTATCGCAATAAAGATGAAAAGGTAGTCGAACATCTTTTATTCTATTCTCAATGATTCCATCACCTCGAAATACCCAGCAAGCATAATTATCATCAATCCTACAGTCCAAAGAAGACCAACTCAGTTCACTTGAGATTTCATCACTACCATCTGCACATTCGTTCACTCCATTGCCCAATTGCTGAAAGCTTACATACTGAACTGGCGATGATCCTGTCTGACAACGATATCGAAATGGTTCGATCATCGCATAAGCACTATTCTGTTCGTCCTCAGCATAAAGACAATCTGCGTAACCATCGTTGACACGACGTAGTGAAACACAATCTGATGTATTCGGACAAGTAAAAACCATTGATGATGGTAGTTGTCCATATGTATTCGATTGGAATAAAGTAACACTGCAACATTTTAAAAGTAGACGAGTATTGACTAGGTTTTCTTGTTCTAACGATCGTTTTGTACGAGTAGAACATTAGTATTACTCAAAATAAATCATTCTTCTGCACTTCGACATATATTTTAGAGATTTAAAATTATGTATAGGTTGTTTTAATTGAATATACAATAGTTGCATAGAGGTTTTTTAACCCGTATTTGATTGTATCTCCGAAGAGTCTTTTGCGAACGTAAGTCTGTTAGATTTTTCTCTTAAAGTGATTCTATATTCCGGAGGATGGACGAAAGAACTTCATATTTGAGATGTCTATACGAGAGATTTCTCTATCTTGGCCTATGGACATGTTTCCTTCATATTATGCTAGACTAACTACTTGTAGGATGCAGAGAAACGATAAAGAATTATGTAAAACAGTACGGTTGCAGAGTATGTTTTTTGGATAGTACAGAATGACTTCCCTATAGAAGTGAGTGTACATAAAACAATCGATTTAGGCTAAGAGATAAATCTTTGATCGAATATAAAATACGCCGTCTGTTAAACATAATCCACGAATAAACATTCTATGTTTCGTAGCTTCTCGTTCGCCAAATTGCAGAAAATCACATTGTTTGTTTTCTTATTTTCACAAAATTTGAACCTAACTATTATGCCAGTAAAGACATTTCCAAGATAAGAAGACTCCCTCGATTCTGTTATTGCATTGGATAAGTACATTCTTTATTTATCTGTTTCTGAGTGAATTGCTTTTTCTTTCTGGGAATAGATTATTTGGAATAAAGGTTGAAAAAGAAAAGGCCTAAAATATTTGATACACTACCTAGGAAACAACACAGACCCCTCAACCACTACATGCTTTTCTCGTGTGAGAAGTAGATATGGTATCCGAAGTGTTTTGTTTTGCTTAGAAGACGAAAGAAAAGAGATAATAAAAGCTTCTTTTCCAGTATGGGAATAATACAGCTACTTGAAAGAAATCGCAACATGAATGAGTTACCACGTGGTTTAGGAAAAGTGACTCCCCGTATGATTGCAAATGAACCCTTAAATCGGATAACGGTTACCAGGGGTTATGCAGATTACCACAGCTTACAAGAGATTGTCAGAGTATACCTAGGATTCCAATGGATTATTAAAAACTGTAGTCTTATAAGATCAGCCGTACCCCCATCCTCATGCTCAAAGCAGAAAAGACAGGTTTCAGTTCTTTGAGAAAGAGAGTATCTTTTGTTCCATTCTGTCATCATATCACAATGTTACTATCTCGCTTACAAGACTAATAAAATTAATCTGTTCAAAAAGACAAAGGAAACAAGTCGAACCCTACAGCATGCTTTTCTTTATTGCTATATAAAGTGCATTCAGTCACAAATGAAATAGTTCTAATATGAAAGTGAAGTTAATACTTTATGACTGATACATGATACAGCTCGTAAGCATTTGTCTTCTCCGACAGTAGTAACTTCATGGATTATTTAATTTTGTATGAAAGTTTTCTGATGAGTTTAGGCAATAAAAAAGATCCTTTTGTTCACAGAAGACAACTCCAGAAACGTTAACATCTTTCAAACGAGTCATAATACACTTGTCTATAATATGTTACCCCTTCAGATGACTAACTTTTCAAATTTGGCTTGTTTTACTGCTTCATGACAAAATAATTGAGATATTGGGAAGAATGGATACGAAGTAAGTGTTTGGAAGTAATTGTAGTCCATACAATGATCTTTCTGGAGTGTCATCCAGATTCCATGACAAACCATTGAACCACTGAAACAGACAAGATCCGGTCGTTTTAACATTTGTTTTGTAAAATTTTGCTGGCTTGTATAAAAGTCGATGATTCGAGATCTTTTATAGAACATTTTAAATACTGGAGAAAACACAGGCCGTTCAGGATATTCAATAGTTTCTAAACAACGATCCTTAATATTGTTTATAGCCGTTTTACGCATTTTACTCAGTTGTTGTTCTCCAGTTGTGAGTAACAAATACCGAAGACTTATCAAACAACTTGATGTACTTGTCAATTGAGGTATTTGAAGACTTGTTGATGAACAGATAGCATTTGCTATCAAATAATTGGTTATCACGAAATCGGGTGTCTCGCAGAAGTAAGTTACATCACGCCAATTTTCACAAGAGATCTGATAATCAATAATAGAAGACCATTTTATGCATTGCCCGTCACCACATGAAAATTCATCCTTCCGACAAAGACGTTCATCACATTCTATTGTCGACATTTTCGGACATCTATTGTACACTTGGTAGATATCACTCAATTCTTGTTCATCACTCGAATCCATACAATCGAGCACAGCATCAAATAAGAACTCCTTTGGAATACACATTCCATTTCGACATTGGAATTCATCCGTGTTGCATTTGTTGAATTCTAACAAATGGCAATCGAGTTCATCAGCTGCATTTTGACAATTAACAATACCATCACAAATTTGTCGCCATTCCAAATTAAGAGTACTTGTATTACATGATATTTCATCGACAAGAGATGTCGGTAACTCTGATTCTTTTTGGATCTCACTGTTACCATTCAGTTGCATTTGTATCACTTGAGAAATACTTACAGTTTTCTTTGGCAGTTTATATTCACATTTCGTGCCAATTCGGCTTACAAAACATTGACAGATGGTTGTGTTGTCATTGGAATTAATAGAGGTGGAATTCAAATAGCTTGCATATCGTTCAATAACGCTAAATGGAATAAGCCAATCAATGAGCTTGTCCGCAGTGACGTTCCTTTGTTTCAATTGAGAAAATGATCGTAATTGACCTTTTGTGCATGTCATGTTTATCTTTTGTATAACAATCTGGCCGTCTGCCGAATGACAGAAGTAACGAGAATCGTATAAGAAGCAATCTGTGTTCAGTTCATCATTGGAATAAATTAACCATTCATTGCGTTCGGCTAAAGCAAAAATGTCATAACAACTGAAGACGAATGTAAACGACGTCCACAGAAGTATCATTGCTTTTATCATTTATAACTAAATCAAATTGAGTAAAATTATGAATAGAATTAAACGGCTGCTTGTAGAGTACTGATGTTGATACACATTGTATTGATTCAACCAGAGAATTGCAAATTCTCTCTACAAAGAACTCAGTAACAGAAGTAATCAAAGACTGCACGTAACTGATAATCGCTAAAAGGAATTAGCACGTAAATGGCAATGACTGACGCATGACTTCAAGTCATTCGTAGTCAATAGCACGTAGCTTGTATTTACTGGCAGTCATTTGTTTTTTGTTGTAGCTTTCCTTAAAACAAGCATGACTTTTGTTTCAACAATTATAGAAAAAATAAAACAGTAATTGTTGTCGTAGTTGCTTTGCATGGGTGTGAGTGTAGACTAGAACGATTATTCACACCTACACCGACACCGACACACCCACACCCACACTCTGCCCATTGGAACAGAATCTACTCTTTGTGATAGTCTAAAGCCATATGATGAGTTCCTTGAGAAAGAACGAAATCACGATCGTGGCTTCTCAACTCACCCTCTGAAAGAGGAAACCTCCGTTAATTTAATTCTATTCCAAATCTCTCGATTAGATTGTTTCTATTTATCGATTCAGTTTGATCGAATTTGAAATGTAATGTGTATGGAACTTTGATTGAAACTGTCTGATGATGATTCTCTGAGCAAGAATCGAAACACGTCGTGGTAGAGGGTGTGAGTGGTGGCGGGTGTGGGTGGTGTGGGTATGGATGTGGGTGTGTGTTGGTATGGGTGTGGGTGTGTGTGGGTATGGGTGTGGGTGTGTATGGGTATGGGTGTGGGTGTGTGTGGGTATGGGTGTGGGTGTGTGTGGGTATGGGTGTGGGTGTGTGTGAATATGGGTGTGGGTGTGTGTGGGTATGGGTGTGGGTGTGTGTGGGTATGGGTGTGGGTGTGTGTGAGTATGGGTGTGGGTGTGTGTGGGTATGGGTGTGGGTGTCGATGTCTAACAAATACGACACCCACACCCACACCCACACCCACACCCACACCCACACCCACACCCCACACCTACACCCACACCCCACACCCACACCCCACACCCACACCCACACCCACACCCCACACCTACACCCACACCCCACACCCACACCCACACCACACACCCCACATCGTATTAGTCTTATCTGTATCTGTCCCATTCATTTATTGTTTTCTTAAGTCTCTTCAACAGAAAAAAATCAATATCTTCAAAAAATGAAAACTCAGATACATGCTGACGATCATAGTCTCAATCATGCTATACTTTAAAAACAAAAAATTTTTTACATCAACAAGGATTTTTTTCGCACCGAAATTTTGATAATGTCCATCATCTACTACTCAAAAAGACAGGCTTTTTCTGAAACACGATCTAAAAAGAATATTGAAGTATAAAGGTAGCAAATTTGAATCCTTATTCAAGACCCTCACAGACTTTATAGTGTCCTTTATTTTGAATAAGTAGATGAATCGTGTTTCACATTTTAATCCCATAGAGGGTACGCTAACAGCTTTTTTAGTAAAGACAGAAATTTTTTTTCATTTTTATCTCAAAACGTATGTTCGGTGATGCGTCCTCCAGCAGCTTTTTGTCGCAGTACGAAACAAAATCAAATCTTTTTTTTTTATCTGAAAGGTCGTGTTTCAGTTCAACGACTCTCGTAATCCGTTTTTTTTAAAAGGTTTAAACATAGAAAAAATCTTTTTCTTACCTGTTATTTTTCTTCAAAACTTCGCTATTTACGTAGAATTGCGCATTTTTTTCCTCACGATTTCGATCGAATACTCGATCAAACGAGTACGAAAAAGAAGCAAAGCAAAAAATGGCAACGACAGTTCCAAGTCTCAAGTATTTTCTTTAAAGTAAGAAAAGAGAATTGCCTTTATATCTTAAGGGGGCCCTCCCCTCAGAAACGAACTTTGCTATTTTTCATCCGATTTCAACCAGAATTTCAGAGAATGTGGGTGTGGGTGTGGGTGTGGGTGGGTGTGGATGTGGGTGTGGATGTGCATTAAGAGCAGACAGCACCCATACCCATACCCACACCCACACCCACACCCCACACCCGTCTCAAAACTAGGACAACTTATCAATGACGTTAAATGTTTACTTCTCCTGATCACTGTATGACATATATATTGATTTTGTCTTGCGTTTATGATTTAAATAGAATCGATGAAAATAATTTTAAAAAGATGCTACACACACATTAAAGACTAGAGAGCTGCGGGTCCACGTTTTTGGACCCGTATCCGACCAGACAATAAACTGAATTTTGGACCCGGACCCGACCCAGACCCGACCGAGTCCAGGTCCACTCAGACTCGACCAGATCCGAGCTTTTTTTCAAGAATATTGAGAATTAGAGAGCTGCAGGTCCACCTTGCTCTGGACCCGGATGGGTCCAGGTTCGGGTGCGGCTGCGGATCTGGACGGACCTGCAGCTCCCTACTGAAGACATATGTGAATAATTTCGTCGTCATATTCTTCGATCGAAACACGATTTAATATATTTCGACGTTGTTGAAAAGACAGTTCAAGGTTATAGCAATAGACACGAAGTATTGCTTCAGAAAACTATCAAAATGCATAGTTCTTGAAAACATGCAAAATCTATATGAGCATTTTGACTTGGTGTTACTTCGAGAGTCAATTTGAATGTATCAAAATTCAGGATCTTCTGAAGTAAGACTACTATTTTTAGAGCTAGTTATGAAAGAATTATTTGCAAGATTAATCCTAAATTTTTATATTTATTTTTCTGTGTCCAACAAGCATAACAACAAAATTTGAGAATTCATACTATAGATAATACGACAAGAACAAAATGAAGTACAAATGAAAAAAATTGCTAAAATCCTATTGATTGTGTTTCAGATATTCAAAAACAAATTATCGGAAAATTTCGATTCTTGGAAATAGGACAGCGATCAGTAAAAAGACTTTTATCGAATTTATAAATGACAATAGCCGGTTTGCAAATCCATAATTAGAATGGAACAATAAATATGAAAATGTATATGAAAAAAATTTATATGACCATTTAAAAAATAAATTTGTAGATATCAATAACTTTGAATCATCTTATTATTTAACACAAAATCAGTTCAAGTCATTGTGTCTTATGATTACATGACTATTAAAATATGTGTTTCGAAAAAGATTGAGCATATTCATTATATATTGAATTGATATTACTACTAATACTTCGCCAGTACAACGAAAATATAATTATTCACTGCAGTACTTAATTGAGAAGACGACTCCATCGTTCACCTATTGTGAATATATATGTTGTGGTCAAAATTAAAATTCAGTCAATTTTAAAATTTGCCTAGGCAAAATTGAAATTTCAATTTCGTCCAATATAGTCTCAGTCAAAATTGAGATTTCAATTTTGCCTAGACAAAATGAAAATCCCAATCTTGACTAGGCATTTTTAAATTTGACTGAATTTTAATTTTGACTACAACATGTATACGCATATATATGTGTTCATTCCTTTTTTCCATTTCTCCTTGATATGTATGACTTTAAGTGGGATGAGCCATTTCTCCATAAACGGAAACAATTTTCCGATCGATTGGTCCAATTGTCCACCGCTGGAGGAAAAGGCAAGACTCAATGTACTTCAAGAAAAAATTGGAGTACGCATTTTTGATGTCTCACGTTTCTCTCTTGCTTGAAGCTTAACTGCTACCAGTTTAGCTGTGGTCAAGTAATTTATAGGCGTCATTTTAGTTAAGGTGAATCTACCCTTCTTTACAATTTCTGACAGTGTTAAACCAGTGGTAAAAACAAAAATTAGTTTTATCTTCAAACTTGGACAATATTTCAATCGAGAACTAAACTAAAAGTAACTTTTGTTTTATTTTTTAGATTAAACTATACTTCAATCGTATCATTATTGATTCCTTGTTATGGCATCCAATAATAATACAGGTAGAAAAAACTATTGTCTAAACAAGAAGAGAAATAGGTCAAAGATCTGATCATTTGTGCGAGATACCTTGACTAGTTTACCAATTCATATGCGGCAAAGTGATTGAAACCTAGGAATGCGTACGATATGCGCCCAGCCAAGTATAGTTTAGAATATATTATGTGATGCTCAAAGTTAGGAACTACTTCTCAACATCTCACATAGAATGGTTCTGGATCAGGTACAACTCAGGAGATTCAAAATGAAAAAGTATTTCATTGAAATGGTTATTTTTGAATATTTTCATTTAAAAAATCTTCTGAATTGGATTATTTAAAAAAAAAACAGTGATTCTATTAATTTTGAAACATTCTCATCTTTGATCTTTCTCTAATCAGAATGTGTAGGATGAAGATTACCGTGTCTTATTTCTAACGTAACATAAATCAATGAACATGAGATCAGATGAACTTTTCGCAAGTTTACTACAAAGTCTTTCAAAGTCCAAAGAATCTTGAGTGTGGAAAAAGTTCATGTAAAATGATTATGTATGGGACGATAGAAAATTCAGGTAGGAAAAGCTGTACAATGATATTTTCATTTCACGATTTCGAAGTATTTAGTATAATTTTAAAACTGGTTTTTTTATGTACAAATCATTGATACAAATCAGAAACTTTCGAAATCATGTATGAATGTGTACGTCACATCATTAGAATCTTCATTGATTTTTTTTATGCCAGTCATTATTTTCCTATAGGAAATATTTCTTTAGCATGGTATAAAATACATTTGTATTGATGATCTTCATTTCTTTCATTGTAGTCGTCATACTATGCTCCAATAATTGTTCTACTAAAGCTAAAATTTGGTGCAAAAAGTGTGAGATTAGTTATTGCTTGAAATGTAGCAACATTGTTCATGAACCGCCAGTCATAACCAATCATGAAAGGATATCCATAGATCAAAAACCATGGGAACCAATGCAATGCAACAAACACTCAGATGAAAAAGAAAAATGGTGGTGTTACAATTGTAAGAAAGTGATCGGTCGTGACTGTCAATTGCTTGATCACCATGATCATAAGATTTTAGCCATTCTTGATATTACAAATGGCATAGAGAAGGAGGTCTGTATGTGTTTCTTTCACAAATTAATTTTTCGTCGAATTTAGATGAGAGATGAAATTGAAAATGTACAATCATCTTTGGAGAAAATTTTAAAAGATACGCGACAAATGATAAGTTCAAGTAGGAACATAAGCAAAGACAAACTCACTGAAGCATTTTCATCTTTACGTGCAATGATCGATAAGCGCGAAAGAGAGCTAAATCAAAGCATAGACGACATTGACAAAATGAATAAGAAATTAATTCGAGATTATGAAGATAAATTGAACAACGAAAAAAAGAAACTCGATCAATATGAAAAAGAATTTACGAATATTCTTTCAAGAAATGATCTTGTAAAATTATTGCAAATGAAGGAAGCATTGACCGACAACATCAAACAAATTGCACGAGATCTGGAAGAATTGAAATCACTTATCACAATTGATTACAGTATCGAACAGATCAATGAATTACAAACAACTCTGGATAATGTCCTCAATCATGTGAGAATCGTAGAAACACAAGGTAACTTATCTGTCATATAGGACTTAATGTATAACAAATTTTGTCTGTGGGTGAAGTAATGAAGGTCGTATAAAAATATTTGACAGACTGAGCCATCGATATATCCTACAATTTTTCTCAGGAAGAATCAATGGGATCGTATACGAGAGTAGTTACTGTAACCTGCTAATGACTCCATGAAGAAATAGCAGAAAATTGATGAATTTCCATATCATTTAGTGAACTATGGATATATTCATATTTCTTAATGCAAAAATCTTCGACTGAATCTTATAGGAAATCGTTATTTTCAAAAAGGAGACTATTTTTGATGACATAGATTAAACTATGGTTCTAGATTGTGAACAAACTACTTTCATCATTGTTTAACTGTATTTCCATGTTTTATTCATCATTGAAATAGTTTCTTTAGAATATAAAACTAAGTTTAAGATAGAAATTCAAAAATAATTAATGATCAATGACATCGAAATATAGGAAAAGTTGAAATTTAAGCGACCAAAGATAGTCGTGGATTATTTTCATTCTTCGATCTTGTGAGACAATAGACTGGAGTCATTATTGATACTTTAATGAGTTTCATCCTTCAAACAGGAGGGTAATTCTATGTTTTTCGCTTATAAATGAAAACTCTGAAAGGAGTCTAAAACTGCAGTTAAGTTTTACATCCGGTTAGGCCTGGTGCATAATTGGTATACTCGTGGATAGGCATAGATATTTACCCAAAAGAAGGAATACCAATTTCTTATCAAGAAAATGGAAATTCTATTCTTGTGAAACAGGTGTCCTAATTCATATCTAGTATTAACCAAATGCTTCGAAAGACTTTTAGTTTCTATTGAAATGAGAAGTAATGTATCAAGTGCTTCACTGAAGTAAGCTACTCAGGTTATAATTTATACGATAAACATCGGATTAAGTTCAAAATAATGCGATATAGAATATTAGGTGGAGAATTCTGAAAAAAAAAAGTAATTACCGATAATTGATAGAGAACCTTAGAAAACATATGATCTGAAATTTTTTTTTTAAGATGAAAAGTATTAGATTCAGACATTTTTTAGGAAGCTATATCAAAACCAATTCCAATGAAAAATATTTAAAACAAGAAAAAAAAAATTTTATTAATAGCATCCATCTGTATCGTCAAAGATAACAGTTATTTAGAAAGAAATAATCAAGTATTCATTACTAACCATTCGAATTTGCTTTATAACCTTGACTAAAAAGTAATAAATAAATCATTTTAGTGGGTTTTTTTTTGATACAAAGCATTGTTTTTGTAGTATGAGACAATTTAACATGAATTTATTCACAGTTCATTATTCTGCAATACTAAAAGCAAATTTTTCTTGCTACGTTGTTGAAAACTCAAGTTTTTCTGGAAGCAAGTAGATCTGTAGAGTGTGAGTGCTCTCTTCATTTATATCCATTCTCCACAATAAATAATAAACGTTTACTACTATAAGAACAGCGTCATGTTCAGAAGCACTTGGTTTTCATATGCTAAATAATGGCGTGGAACTTTGAAATTTTTACAAATTTAATTTTTTTTTTCTAGGATATACTTTACCGATGAGAAATTCACAATCATATGAACCACGAATGAATCCTCCATCAGTAAATAAAATTTATTGAATTTTTTTTTCCGTAATAAAATATTTTTGTATTTTAGTATATTAGTCAACAAATGACTAATGATTATGCTCAATCATTTTATCGTTCTCAAGCATTTCCAGAAAATGCATACATACTTCCAAATAATCTACGACTAATGGTTAGTTTCTCAAGAAAACAATAATAAAGCTAATCTTTATTTATTTAGAATTCTTCATCAAATGGAACTATGCCTAATTATCCACATTTAATCCCATCACATGGATTTCAATCAACATATCCAACTGGAAATAATAGTCTTTCATTAGGATCAGCTGTTTATCTACAACAATTTTTCCAATGTAAACTTTCTTTTTACAAAAATAAATAAAATAAAATTTCTTTCGTATTGTATTTTTTTAAATAGCTTACTCAATACCAGCAAATTATCCAGGACCACAAGGATTACCACAACTATCATCATATGCAATTCCTAATTTACAACAACTAACACAACCAACTCAACAATCACAAGTAGAAACATTGTGAAACAAAAAATGCACAAAAAAAAACTTTTGTTTTATTATTATAGACTGATCAATCAACTGTACCAATATCTCAGCTTGCAATACCACAAGCAAATCCATATGCACAACCAGTACTTCCAGAAAAACGAAAAAAAACTCCATTAACTATTGTTGATCCAGTATCACATAAAAAAGTTGAAGTTTCTACTAAACAATCGACACACAAATCAATGACAACAGCAATAGCATCAGAATTATCTCCACACATACCACATGAAACATGTTCAACAGAATCGACAACTACAGATTCAATTATATCAAATTCAAAACTGACAATTGATAAGAGTAAAACACAATCTCAATTTGATTTTCGACGACAAATTGCCGGCAAACTAGCCGATTCTTCCAATGTTCAAACAGATAATGTATAAAATCAGTCCATTACATATTCTTCAAAATTAAGATTTCACATGTCTTTTTATTTATTATCAAAAAAATAATATTAATATTTGATTCAAATATGAGGAAAAAAGACAAAATAGGAGTGGAAAAAAAAATTCATCAGTTAAACTTTATTTGAAATATCAGTCAACGAAAGTCACGATAATGCTTGTATGAGAATCTGTTAGCGTAGATTGATGTAGGTATATGCATAGTTGTGTACAAAGCAAGATAATGTGTATGTTGATATGTGTAAGGATGCCAATGAATGAAAGACCAATGTGTATCCACTCACACATGCACACACAATATAGTTATGTGTAATAGAGGTTGAAACGAATAAGAAAATTTTCGTTCGATTCAATTTGTTTTTGGTCTCTGATAAGTAATCATAGTACGACATAGAGGAGGATGACATTTAAGTGTTCATTTTCTTTTCAAAAGATATATATAAGAAAACTTTCAGAAAAAAAAATTCGGTTAAACCTTGTACATGTCAACGAATTGATTCTCGAAATTATCACTTATCAAAATTCTGTTTTATTACTATTTAGTCTTATGGTGATCCAATACTACTCGTCAATGAAGAAATTAATTCATATCAATCAGAATCTGAATCTACATTATTAGACTGTGTTACAAAACCAACAACAACAACAACAACAACAATAATAAATCATGATAAATCTCAAGCAACACCAAATCAACGTTTACGATACGATCGTCATGAACTTTTACGTATTCGTGATAGTTCAGGAACATTTGCAATTCCACTTAATCTTCCTGATCTTAATAGTGTTCTTAGTCGACGTGATAATAATAATAATCCACATTATTCCTATAGAGGTCAGAGATCCGATACTCGCCGAGTTTTCCTGCCTCGCCTCGCGGCAAGGCGAGGCGGCATTCTTCGTACTGAGGCGAGTACGAGTTGACCGTGTGACTCGACTACTTACAATGTAACTTTTGGTGAATAAATGGAAAATCTCTAACAACACCTCTTGATTTTATTGTAGATTATTTAAAGCGTTTCCATTAGTGATGAAGTTTAAATAATTGCGACAATAAATACGTACACATGCATACATATTTTTATCTATTCAATCTAGTTGAGCGATTTTATTTATTTAATTCTCAGTGCGCATTTAGTAATGCATCTTGATTATGGTATGATTCTTCAATAATTTACAATATAAATTTAATTATAGATACCCACTATGTGCTCGACAAAGTGTTGTTCTTTTCCTTGGGAGCATTATCGATGTTTCACAAAAGATTTATTCCGCTTCTCATAGTGTTAGTTATATGCTATCAAATAACGACTGATCGAGAAGTTTTTTTACAAAAATCTTTGTTCTTGTTTAACTCTCTTCAGAAAGTATTGTAGGTGAGTGGAAAACTATGGATTGGAACCACAATTTTCTGATTCTTCCGAACATAGGTTCACACATTGTGTATCTGTTTTAAGCCAAAAACAGTGATGAAATCTTTGAAAGACCTAATAAAATATTTTGGACGAGTCAGTCGGACCAAAGTTTCTGGACAGTTTTTTGTTCATATTCGACCTACTTGGAAGTATTCCATACGAATGAAGAACTGTGGATTGAAGCTAGAATTTAGTGCACTTTCTAAATATGGGTTCAGAAATTGTACATCAGGTTTTGTTCAAGAGTAGTGAGGAGATCTTTATATGTTCTGAAAAATTGGTGTGATTAGCGGACTGCCAAACATTTGCTAGCTTCCGTAAATTTCCCTAGAAAGGTGCTAAAAATGATTGAATTTGGTAATTCTGTAGAGCGAACAATTCTTCACAAAATATGATCTCGAACTAAAATGTAGCTTTTGCACAAGTGAAACAATAACAGCTTCAACAAGCGTAACGCGATGACGTTTTGGCCACAGTTTTATTAACTTTTCTCAGCAATCGGGTTGCCAAGAAGGTTCGTTCTTTCGTTGGAAGATATGTCTCTGCCTTCTCCGAAGTCTCTGAAAATATGAGCTCGTTTGAATGAGCCGTTTGAAAATTTGAGCCAAAATAGATGACTTAACGCGATGACGAAAAAAGGACAAAAAGTTGAGGGTGACGTGTTTGTTCTTTATTTTCCTGCAAATGTGTGCTGTGTGGGTGTGGGTGTGGGTGTGGTTATTCCATTCAAACACGCCCACACCCGACACGCACATACACCGACACCCACCGAAACTCGCACACACCCCACACTCCACACCCACATCCTGCTATAAACCCAATGATATAGGAGCATTGTATTTTTATTCCATTTTTTCTTGAGAGTATCTTATTTTATCTCTATTTTTCTCTAGAAGTTGAGGAAAATACAAACGAAATAGAATAACTTTTTAAAAGATAAAACTAAATATCTAATGGACCTACATCATAGGATTGATAGGTCGAATCCGTTCCTAGCCAACACACGAGCAGATAATTCTTTTAGACCGAATATTACAATGAGACAAATGTATTAATATTTTTATAAACAATGAAAAATGGATTCTCAATAATAAGAATGAAATTCAAAATTTTGTTTGGCTACGTTAATTAGAATATCACTTTTGCCAAGTATCTGTTGTATTCAAGATACGATATTGAGTTATCTTTTAAACTTGTGCATAATAATAAGGGTTCCAGTTATTTGCCTGTTTGGACCATGTATATAGTTGAAGATACTTAGATAATTGTATAAAAGCAATCGATAGATAATAGCTATGAATGTTATCAAATTTATCTAGTAATAATTCTATTTGCATCTACTTATCTTCAAATTTCCAGATGCAGCGTTTTAGATGTCATTTTACATTATCTAATTTCTGAAAATCAAAAAAAAAAGAAATATGCAACTGATTATGATGATTAAATAAATACAGAAGCGTGTTTTTCCTTTCCAAAATGGATGCTTTTATTCGATAATAGAAATGAATTTTCCTACGTAAACGAAAATAAAAATATTTTAACAACTTGAAACAACTCTAAAATCCTTTCTGGAAAGTGTATCTATCAATTATTTTTGTTTGAATCTAGTTTCGACTAGAAGCTGGCATTGTGAAAAATTTGCAATCAGTTCACTATATATAATATAGTGCATACTTCGATTGATTTTTAAAAAATTGAGTTTTGTTTTATATTTTTTGTAAAACAATAAATATTTATAAATGACAGTCCATGTACTGTCAATGTCAGCTAGGTGAAAGATCATGCATATTAAGAGAGCATCCATGAGAGCACCGAGGAACCTAGGCACTGGTCAAACTTTAGATTTTTGATTTCTTATGTGCATTTGAAAGAGCATAGTCTAAAACCATCAAATCTAAATTTTTAGCTCATTTCGATGCACTATAGTAAAGTTAGTCAATACCGACTTCTGAGTATTATCAAGTTATTATCAAAAAAAAAAATAGTCGAAAATTGTACCATAAATGTTTATTTAAGATAATGCTTCAACAAAACAGAGAATTTCTTCGCGGAA